CCGACTTAATTTAGATTTGAATTTTTACGCATCATAGATCGCGCACGGATGAAGAAATCGTGCAGCGACACTTGTTTAGCTTACTATAGTAGGACTACTTATTCAAAAGTGCCATATTTGTTTTGAACTTTCCTAAACACCCGGCAAAATTATCTAGATGTATGGTGAATCACAGATGAATGATAATCTTGTGGGATAATAGCTGCTGCTAAATATTAGCCACCTGAATTAAGCTTGAACATCCCGTCAATATGAGTTTGTACGGCTCCGTGAGGAAACATCAAAATCGTTCCTCCTGAGGTAGCTCTATCCACCGCAGGTGTCGTTCAGCAACGTTATGACTGAGGAGAGGGGAAGGGGGCGTGGGAGAACTTTTGGTAGTTTAAGCCAAGCTTTCAGTCGAAAAAGATGATTGAAAAAAGAATGAGCAAAACCCAACAGGTATTTGGCAGTGAAACAGAGAGTTGAGAAAGACTGTGAGATTGCGTTTTTAACACCTCATTTTGCCCTCTTCGCTTCTTTTTGCGAAGTTTGATTTCATGTTCAAATTAGTAACGAAGCAAAACATGCTCGCAGAGGTATAACATGCCAGTATACTTTAGCATAGTTTAGCAATATTCGCAGCGTTTGCCATAATTTCCGGTTACCTCAGTTATTCTTTCTTTGTAGGAAATAGGAAAAAAAACAGAAAGCGAGTTAACAAATATAGTAAAAAAAGTGTAGAGTAAATCAATTATTTCTATTTTTAACCATCTTATTGTAGTGGAATTTTTAATTGCTTTCGATTTAAGCCATATCATCTCATCAAGAGAGTATAATCGCATGTAACCTGCGATTAGGGCCTTTTGTCCTGCTGTTTTCAATGTTAGTAGGTTTGCTAGTTTGTTTGGTTGTTCGCTTGCTTGATTGTGTTCTTTGTTTCCTACGCGGAAAGCATCAGCGACCAAATGGCGGGGTTTAAGAGATGGGAACGGTGGGCAGGTTCGATACAGGTGACATCTTGAATCGCTTTTTATAATGTTCATGTACACATTATTACAATAACTGAAATAATGTCACTGATAAGTGAAAGAATTTAAAAACAAGAAGACGCAGTCCAATGACACACTCACGATGAAAAAGTGTTGGTACCCAGTTGTTTAATTCTCTAAGGGTTGAATTGTACGAAATCCTTAGAATATACACTTTTAAGCTTCCAAGTGAGGCCTTAGCGATTGTATTTGGTTGATTTTTCGAATAAGGTTTCGCTGATCCACGTCTTGCAACGTTCTAAATCAACTTTAAAATGCATAACTAGTCGTTTCCTTTTTCTATAAAAACGTTCTTGTAACGAGGTGTACACGAACATCCAAAACATTTAGTTTAAATATAATGACGTGGAGGAATACGACTGTACAGCTGAAGATAACATACCATGGCTACATGTGTAACGAATTGGTTTAACATGTAACTTTATGAAGCTGTCTCTTGGACAAGCTGCACAGCTTGTCCATAGCTAGACTCCAGTCTCTAGTCAAATAATAAAATTATCACTTGGAATGAAGGACGTTATCATTGTTTTTCAGTCTCTCGTCAGCATTGACGTAAAATCCCATGTCTTTTTTTTTGGTTTTACTTTAAAACGTACACACCAGGAAACCTAATCTTCTTCAGCAGTGTAAACAACCAACCAGGACATAAATATCGAAAAAACTTGGTGAACGAAAAAATATCCTAACGCTATGAAATTAACGCAAACTTCGTATCTATCGTCGAACGTTTATTGCCGAAAAAATTATATTTGCACTCTTCAAATGTAACATAACTTTCAAAGAATTGCAATAACATCAATCCCTTAGGGAACTGGTCATTTTTTATCGCGGGGGGAGGGGGATTGGAGCATTTTGGTTGTGTCACGATAAAATTTACCCGATCCCCCCATGAGGCTCTTTGACATTCTTTTAAAACCAGCCCCCCCCCTCAGCCGCAATTAATTGGCAGCCTATTTTCTCAAGTCAACCCTTTATACTCTGTCGGCAACGATTGATTCCCCACCGCCCTCCCTTAAAACCATGTGACTCCCCCAATATCCCCCGCCCTCCCTTCCCTAACAAGAAAGGCTGTCCATGTAAAATGACCAAGCAAGGAAGTAGAAGAACACAAACTGAAATCTTAACAGGACAAATTTTTACAGTACTATTTTGCAAATTTCCAAGGATTGTTATGTGCAGTTGACAAGCCAGGTCTTCGTTCCGGAAAAAACTGAAACAGGTATAGTGTCCTGGCTACAATTTATCTTCATGTAAGCGGCCTTGCTACAGCTAAAGATCACCGGATCCCTTTCGCGGCGAGGTCTTCCTTAACACGTTGGAGATAGTGTGGATCGGGATAACCAAATCTAAAACAAAAAATAACACAGGTCAATGATTTATTTTGTTACTTCTTCAAAGGGTTGAACTCTTATTAATGACTACGATCAACGGTCAACAATAATCGCGCGGGAAACTTTTCGGTGAAAAAAACACCGCACCTTGCATGACACGTTACAAATTTCAACTTACTTACCCGTGGGCACCCCCTGTTGTACTTGTCTTATGATGTATATCATTCCACGTGATCTGATTGGATAGTCCTGTTGTTATGGAGGTACCCACAGTAAAAACCAATCGTGCGTTAAAAGCTCTGTGTAGCAGCTGCAAGACTTCTTTACCCTCGCGATTATCAGGCAAGTACGCAGTACGATGCGTACCACTGTACTGCTGACCAGGGTTTGGGTGCTCTGGGCCTTGAATTCCTGATTGAAACGAATACTGTATGCAGATGGTGCCACACCCTGATGAAAGAAATAAAAGAGACCAACTTCAAATCGAAATTCTATTTATCATAGAGAAACTTGTAACCTATTTGAAAACAGAAAATCGAATTCTGTCGATACCGTTGATGATTTTTGTCCAAAAGAGTTCTGAAAGCCATTTAAACTTCAATCTAGGGGGTAAGTTTCCGAAGAAATTTTGGTGCTGCGTCGGTGGCAGAGTATACCAAGTAATTTCGTATTATCAACTGTAATGTACCGTAAATTGGCCACCGTTATGAGTTTAAAGCTGACTTTTCGGGCGTTAGCCCTTCGTCAGAGCGAAATCGTCATTCGCTCATATTGAGACATTTGGTACAGCCACACTTAGGCTCATGAGAAAAGCTGGAGCTATTTTCCAGCACAGCAGGCGGTCTTAACGCCTTCAGTTGGAGGAACACTTCTTCTTAAGTTTAAGAGTAATTAACTACAGTAACTACAAAAACTGCCATTTTCTGAGGATTCTGCATCCTAGAGACAACATCATATTCAGACGAAACCTGACCACCTTCAGACAACAATTACTTAATCAAAGATTGGAACTTCTGCTTCCCCCTAGAAATCAAATTTTTCGAAATTATTATTTCACTTAATTATGTTGTTAATTTTCCAGTTGGCCAGTCTAACACTTTCTTCAAATGATAAGATGGCTCATCTTTGATGATTCTTTGATAAAAAGTCGAAGTGTCAAGCCTTTCGATGAAGATGAAAATTAAAATAAGTTCTTTTTTTTTCAATTACCCCTGAGCGAGTTTGTTGAAATTTAAGGGTTGTATACAACATACCAGAGTAACCTGGGAGACTGGAATGCAGAGTAGACCAAGTCATTTGCCCTGGTGGTTGATTCCCTGTCACCACACCTTGTGGCTCCTTACAAATGGGGCAAACATTTAATATCCTCAAAGCTTGACTTAAGCAATCTTGGCAAAAAACATGACCACACTTGATAGTTTGGGGTTTAACCATACTGTCAAGGCATATAGGACATCTGTGATGCATGTTTGTCCACCCTTAAGAAAATAGTGAAAAATGGAAAATTAATTCAAAAGAGCAAAGAAATAATTATGTGTTATGAAATAGGTTGTTGTTCATCATGGCAGGTGGATGATGATATAAATTTGTTCTGTTGTCTCACAACAAAGTCACTAGATGTAGATCGCGATGTTTCAACTGCTTACTGAAAGTCTTCTTCAGGCAATGGGGTTGACTCCATCGCCTGAAGAAGACTTGCAGTAAGCAGTTGAAACATCACAATCTACATCTAGTGACTTTGTTGTGAGATATCCAAACAAATTTATACTATCAAATAATTATGTGCTTACATAATTTTAATTTGTAGCTGATTTTGCTTCGTACAGTTGTAACAGCACTTTATGGGGGGCAGGAAAAATTCAGAAAAGAAGGGAGTGAAAACAGGGGGCCAAGAAGGTGGGCACAACTCTATACATGTACAGTTCTACTGCTCTTCTTTGCCCTCTCTCTCATTTCCCTAATTAACCCTCCTAGTTTATGCCTGTTACATAAAGACTGTTTGATAGAAATACTGCAAGAGGATCAGTTATGAGTCAGTACTGGTAATAAAAAAAAACAAATAAAAAACAATGTGGCCTAAGAATGGCTTCTGCAAAACTGCCAAGTCATGCTTGAACAACTCTAATATAGCCAATGGCCATGGATGGGCATAAGAGGTTTAAGTTGGAGGATAAACAAATAAAGCTGCTGGCAAGCATTCAGAATTGCATTCTTGCATATTGCTGCCTGTAAAAGATCATTTTTAAGTTTTTAAATCAACTTCTTTTCATACTTCCCACAATCCTTCACCCTTCATCCCTCATCCTATGACTATCTCACAGTAAGAAAAAAATTGATTAAGAGGTGCAGATAATTACTGGTGATCTTGTCTCCTACATCTTTATCCTTCCCTTTCATAATTATAAATAGCAAAAATAAATTGCATTTAAGGTTGCCTATGTCACATACAGTGTACATCAGATTTAGTAAAGCATATTAGCCTGCATTGCATCAAGAATGAATAGTAAAATATTTTTTATACCAGCTCCCAAATAAAATGTGTGTTCCGATTTGAGAACATCATGTTAGCGCTATGGGTCAAAAGTCACTAAATATAACTTTGTAAGAGTAAACAAATCTCACAAACTCTCTAGTGGAACAAAAACTAAACTTTCAACTCACACATGATCAGGTCATGTAGCAGCTGAAAACCTTCCCAAATTTGTGTGCCAGCTCATGTCAAAAAACTAATTTCACAGAAAATTTCAGTAATACTGAATACATATCGTCTGTCTCGTTTTTGAGTTGGGAGGTATAACAAAACACTTAACAACCAGCTCCAGTTTTATGCTTCCCCTCAAAACTCAACATTTTCATCAACTTTGCCTACTTGAGGTTTTCCAGGAGACAAACCTACAACCTCCTTTGGGTCAGTCATTTTAAAAGTGTCCATATCAAAAGATGGCAGGTACTGTAAGTTCAAATACTGACATAATTATAAAAGATGAAAGTCAAATATCATCAGCAGTATCATTCAAGCCTCAGTGAAGTATTAGTGAACTTGCAAATTTATTGGCTAAATACACCTCTTGGTTAAGACAACAACTGACTGCTAGTCAAATACAATTGCACTACAATCGAACCACAGCATCCCAGCAGCAAGTATACATGAAATTTAAAGAAATTTTTGGTGGACTATTAAACAACTATCAATTCTTCATTGACATGTACATTATGCCCATCTGCCAATAAGTTGATCAAGGCTGCCTACAACTAGCACACGGGATCCAAAGAAACAATATTCTTAAGAACAAAAAAATTGCAACAAAGGCCTGGGTGTACTTTTTCTTCCTATACCTTGCATTTGATGAAAAAAATTGATTTGCCAAAGAAAAATGTATCTAGCAGAGCAGGAGGGAGCTCGGTTGTTCCTTAAGTACTAATACTAATCCAGAATTAAAAGGTACCCCTCAACTGAACTAGACACAACATGCTACTCTGTAACTGTTATTGGCTTATGTAAGGCAGAAGACAACTACATGAAACTGGCTTAGATTAACAGTTAAACAATTTGCAATTAAATACAGCGAAATGAAGAATTTACTCTAACGCTAGATCATTGTGATCCTCTCAGGTTTAATGAGGTTGTGGAAGTGGGGTCAGGTGGGTAATAATGAAAGGCAATGATATCAACTTTGTTTCCAAAATTTGCATTCCTGGCAAGAGAATTCAGCTTGCCCTTTGGTGGAAAACCATAACAGAAAAAGATACCAACTAAAGGATAAGAATCATGAGAGAAAAAAAAAAGAACAGTCAAAAACTGGGGTCGACCATAATGTCAAAATACATGTACAACTCACACTGGTGGACAGAATAATTAACAAATATTCACCTAACAAGAGGTGAATAGTGATGGATATAGCTGCTAAGCAGTGGGGTGAATATCCTCCACTTTCAATGGCACTGAGGTGAATAATTGTCTTAGTATATGCCACACAGATACAGAAAAATTAGTTTCAATCATTTCTTTCAATATACCAAAAAAAGGGTTGGAAATGAAACTCTTGGCACACAAATTTGTCTCTTCATTGGCTGCTCCAAGGAAATAGAGTTTTTTATTCACATTAGCCAATCAGTGTATGCAAAAAGCACCACTACTACTAAGTTTACCTGTGTGGTATATACTAATTGAATATAATTTAATATCTCTATTTCAAACACCTAGTTGTTGTCCAAACTAACAGTGGAAGAAAATGTTATATGGAAAGAGATCTTCAGCTTTCAGTTGTCTGTACTGCAAAGGAATCTTTCGTTTTACCTCTCAGGCTCTGGCTTGTGCTTAGATTTAATTAGCTAATAAATTCATTGATATTGTTTCTGCTTCCTGCTCGAATGAAAAGCGAAAGCATTAATGCCAAAACGAAAAATTTTAAGTCAGACCAACAATTAACCCTGATAAGATGCATACCAACACTAAACAGGGGTAGATTTTGAGAAATTCTTTACCATCAGTAGCAAACAGTGTCTACACTCTGCCAGATTCCTGTAAGCAAGTTTTCCCACACGGCATTCCTGCATTCTTAGTTCGAAACATCTCCTGTATCGTGAAAACATATTCAACATGGACCCTTTCTGATTCAAGACAGCTGTATTCAACTGAATATCATCTCCATGGTCCTATCGTGCTTACCTTGACGTGTGTCCATCTCTGTGCAGAATAACTATGAAGGTACTGGAAATTGGAGGTAGTTCTAGAAGTGAGTCAGATTTCTCGGAAACGGCGCGAACCCACGCACTCTTGTTGTACTGAGCTGAACTGACGCCACTTCCGTTGCGGCGAATAGTAACAGACGGCAGAGGGTTGTAGAAAGCCAACCCGCACTACAGATGTTTCTTTGATTTCTAAACTTCCATCCTAACATTACAAGATAGAATGTCGAAGGGGCCGCCTCATTTGAGGACAAGTTGCCATAAATAAAAGAACTCGAAACCGAAAGGTCCTTGGTACTAGTAAACGTGGCGACACAAACAACTTCCGCTTTTTCTGAGAAAGTCTTAAATCACGACAGCCGGGGCTAAATGACTCGAAAGAATTTATGGCTGGCTGTGAGAGCCTTTTAGATGCAATCAAGAAAGAATTGGAATGCTCCCTCTGCCAAGACCAGTTTACTGAGACCAATCAACCAAAACTTCTCACATGCCAACATACTTTCTGTAAGTCTTGTCTCCAAAGGTGGTTGCGACAACAGACCGGGAGAGGTTTGAGCTGCCCGAACTGTCGAGTAATAACCGAGTGTCCCAACAATAACATCGACCGCTTACCATCCAATCTTGCACACAAGAGACTGGGGGATATCTTGAAAGCTCATGGTCGTTCGAATAAAGATCCTGATCTCGAATCAAAAGAACAAAACGTTTGTAAACGACATGACATACTCGTTAAGTTTTACTGTGAACCGTGCGAAATTTGCATTTGCTCTGAATGCGCCATTATGGAGCATCGAGATCCGATAGATCACACCATCATGTCACTTGAAGATGGAGCAAGAAAACAGAGAGTGTACATCGAAAGTAGGCTGAGAGATATTGAGGAGGATTCTTCGCTTCTGAAGAACCATATTGAGTCTTTAAGAGAGAGACAAGCGAAATACAATGGTAGCATCGATGAAGTAGCGGCAGAAGTTCGCACTGTGACGGAGGATGCTATAAATGTTCTTCGTCAACACGAAGAAATGATGACAGAGCAGTTGGTGAAAGAAAAATCGCTTTACGACGAGGCCTTGAAAAATGAGTTGTCGAAGCTCATCAAAAAATTACAGCTATTGTCTAAGAGCTCAAGACATGGTAAAGAAATCCTCCAAACAAATGACGTAAGGAAAATGTTAGAGGTAAAACATGAGCTTGATGGAACGGTTGCGGAGAGATTTCAAAATTCTACGCCTCTTCTCAGATATCCGGAGTTTAAGTATTCAGTAAATACCCTGCTCCAAGACTTCCGTCTTGGTGTGCTACATGTAACCTTTACAGAACCTTATTTTTCTGTTGGATCAGGACAAGGACTAGCAGAAAGTATTCAAGGAGAGGCAAGCTACTTTACTGTCACAACTATGGATTCAAGCGGCAAAACAACCTATAGTGAAATTGATAACGTCACGGTTGAGATCACATCCATACGACAGGGAATCAGAGATATTCCTGCTTTTGTGAAAGACCTAAAAGATGGCCGTTATTGTGTATCTTACACACCAAGAGTTGCTGGAATCTTCAACATATCAATCAAAGTAAGAGACGATCCAATCAACGGAAGTCCCTTCAAATTGGTTGTAGCCCCAAAACCAAAACAAGCTGTATGCAAATTTCACGGTAAGAAAGTAAATTTAGGTGGCCCAATAAATTTCAGAGAATTGTCACATGGACATGCTTACGTTATTTTTAATTTGATGTGAAAACACTCTTCGGGATTTGAACCGGAACTAGCAAGTGGAAGAAAAATTGCTAGCGTTTAACGCGCGTGACCCCGTTTAGGAATCGTTTAAAATGCATGAATGATGTTCATTTCTCAAATAAGTGAAAAAACCTTTTTTTTTTCCTTTGACCCGCAGTAAATATTTCATCCTTGAAGATGAGCAGCACTAAAATAAATTGTAGGGAAGAAGGCATAGACGCGATTCTCGTCACGCAACACCCTCTCTTCTCCACGAACGCGTTGCGTGACGAGACGAAAAGGGACTAGCATACTGTGGAACTTGTATTAAGCGGCACTGTATTGAGCGGTCACCCTGTATTAAGTGGTTGGATGTCAAAGCCCCGAATTTTTCCCCTTAATCACCGTAATTTTTACTTCTATCAAGCGGCCACCCCATAAAGCGGTGGCAGTCACCCTTTACTAAGTTTTAAGGCTTGTTTTTACTGTCTTTAGCTGTATTGAACGGTCACTGAAAGCGGAAATACTCAAACAAAACTAAGAAAAATCTTTCAAGAAATTTTTAATCCATGTCTCTCTCCCAAAATCAAAGTAAGTGGTATTTCTGAGCAAGATTCTGTACATTAACTGGTCAAATATAGCATGAAGTAGCATTTATCTTTTTTTATATTTCTGTGGAACCTGTATTAGGCAGTCATGCCATTCCCCGTGGGTGACTGCTTCACACAGGATCAACTGTATTGCCAGGGTCACTGCCTAGACAATAAACAAAAGTTTTTATGTCAATGAAACATACTATTTTATAATTCCTTTTTAGATGTTATTTTACCAAGGAAGTGGATTCCACAACCAAAAAACCAAGAGGGTGAAGAACTTAACTTTCATCTGGTAGAGCTGGATCCTGTTAGCAATGCACAGGAATACCAAGAAGTTCAGAATCAATTTCGAAAAACATGCAAAAGCAAAATTATGATCTTGAAAATAGCCCGAGTCCAGAATCCAGCCCTTTACAGGACATTCACCATGCGAAAGCAAAAAATGGATGAGGAAAGAGGAAGCAATGAACAGCGACTTTTCCTTGGAATCCCAAGAAGCAAATGCCAACAAATAAATGAGACTGGTTTTTGCCATTTCCAAAACAAAAAAGGCACAAAGAACCATTTTTTACTATATTAATTTGCATGTCATGCATGTGTTCACATATAGAAACAAGTCAATCCTCAGCATTTTTTAAAATAACAATTGGAACTGAGGTTTGAGTTAAAAAAATGTTTTAGAATACATTTGCTTCATTCACCAAGAGAAAAAAATGAGTGTTATTGTTGTATGTCAGTGTCAATTTACTCAGTAGCTTGATGAAACAATTTTTACTTATTTTTTAAAAAGGTAATATTCAGGATTGTATTGGTGTTAGTAAATCTTGCCCTATGATTGGTTTAGAAAATTTGTGCCACACAAAACTTCGCAACTTAATCAGTCGTGTTTCCACGCCTGGGATTTTTTACTTGCTTTTTTTACTTCAAGTTCTGATCGGTTCCTTGAGCTATTTCCTTTACTGTGATTGGTTGTTGAGATTGCTAACTCAAACAACGCTCCAGTTTAATATTTACAACTTTTTCAGCACCAACAGACATGTATGGAAATGGCTTGTACTTTGCCAAAGATGCCCTTTACCCAGCTCAGTCCTCTCTCTCTCCACCAGACAATGATGGACAGCAATACATGTACCTCAGCAGAGTCCTGGTTGGTGAATACACGGTTGGTAAACAAGGCATGGTTACTCCTCCACAGAAGAACCAGAGTGATTCCAAAGAATCCTTTGATTGTGTGGTGGATCAGATTACTGACCCGAGCGTTTTTGTTATTTTCTACGAGGGGCAGTTCTACCCTGAATACTTAATCACATTTTCTAGATGATTCTTTTAAATTGTAGTGATTTTTATTATTTTAAAACTTGTGCAAATGTTTTGACTGGATTAGTTTGTAGTGGTTTAATATCAGTTTTAAACTCAAACAATCATGCATTAAATTAATTTTACACTGGTCAGTGCACTTTGATTCAATCGTGTACTTTATCTATGCTACAGTAGTTAAAAAAGAGATGTTACGAGATCAACATATTTTAAGGATTACGCTGACCGTTTTAGTTTGAGGAGGGATGGAGGCTTGGAGAAGAAATTTCAGCTGTCTTATAGTTTGATTTTGGCCTCCTTGGAGGCGATTCTCTCATTTGCTTGACTCTATTTATTGACAGGAATATAATAAGTTTGTATCCTCTTGTTATTGACTAATTTAGTTGACTTATGGTTGGTGTAGAACAGGGATGCTTGCAATTTCTTTCATTTAACTGAAATCAGACCATGGGCATGTCTGCTCTGTTCATCATGACTTTTTTTTTCCTTTTGTGGGTTCAAAAAATTTCGAAACGTGTGGCAAAAAAATGTCTCTTAATTTCTTAAGAAACTTGAGAGAAGGTGCCACAGTGTCCAAAGTGATCTTTAATCATTTTAAGGAAAGGGTAATAGCGTGTAACTTTTAACTTGACTCTAACTCAAGAATGAGTGATTTCTTTTAACTCCTATGTATGACTCCTTAAACACTTGCTTGAATCAGTTTTAAAAGGCTGATGAGTAATCTTAGAATAGTAGTGTCCGTTCAGTGGAAGACCTACAATTAGTCCATTGCTACTAAGTTCAAATTATGTCGTCATAAGTATTTAATTCACTCGGTCGGACTGTCTAACTAGAAAATAACAGGCAAGCAGAACAAAACCGTCCGGTTTTTCAGACAACCAATCATTTTTTTCCTCATACTAAGTAATAAGAGTGATACACTGATCAATTCGAAACTTTATTATTCCCTCTCTGGGCAACCTTTGCGGTGGTAAATTTGAACCTTGCATGGCCGGGGTGGGTAATTCGAACCTGAAGTGTCGAGTCTTTTCGGCGTATTTTTAATGTTTTAAAGAGTCTGCTTTCGTGTGATATCTAGCACGATGCTCATAAGCGAAAAATCCAACAGCAGCACCGAAAACTAACATGTGTCTTTGCTAACGTCAACAATATTTGTTGATCACACAAAGAGTCTTTCAATATTGGGTGGGGCATTTATACGCAATTTTGGCACGAGAAGAGGGAGGGTAGGGGGGTTTGAAAGAGGCAAACCTCAAAAGTTCAAATGCCTGGGGGGGATGTTGAAGCTTCGACTTGTTCGACGTATAATATCCTCAAACTGTGACATACTTGGGTTGTCAAAGTCTTGCCTTGGGCTTCAATTCTATCAAAATATCTTCAGGAGTACGCTTGCTGGAAATTCACCCCAGGGAAAACAGTGCTCGTTTAAAAACCATAAAAACGTTACGGTAAAAAAAGCAACCGGCAGAATGCAAACAGAGCTAAGCCAGGAGTTGAACCTCTGAGCTCTCGAGAACAATTCCAGCATTGGGGAATATTCTCTGTTTTTCATGCGGTAATGAAGTCTCTGATAAAATCAGTTTGAAATTCGAATAGCTTGTTTTGACCTCCTTAACTGCAGACTTCACCAGCTCTGAGTCGTCCTCAAGTTCGAGAATCGAGTGTTGCAGCTTTTTCTCTTCATGTTTTACTGAGACATGAAGAGAAAAAGCTGCAATAGTCATGAAGGAAAAAAGCTTCAATAAATAGCTGCAATCTGTTAGAGCAGTTATCTAGTAGGTAACTTTTCTAACAAAGAAACTGTGTTGCTGCGTCGGTGGGAGGGTATAACAGGGTAATTTGGCATTATCAACTAAGTTGATAACGTAAATTGGCCATCGTAAGCTAATGTTTCGACTCGAAAAGTCAGCATTGAAATTCTTTACGATGGCCAATTTACGTTATCAAGTCAGTTGATAATACTAAATTACCCTATTCTACCACAACGCAAAGTTTTTATACTAGGAACTCCAACTACCCATAGATGGAAATATTTTAAAGAAAAAGGCTTGTCTATTTGTTTTTGATTTCCTAAAAGGCAATGTCTGCACTGAGTCCCTTCAAGATTTAACCCACAATTTTTTTACGAGGAACAATGCCCCATGTGGAGCCAGCGTTGTTCTCCCGAAATTGAAACTTGACTTTGCTCAGAAAAATTGTTTGAAAAGAGAGTTTTTTTTCAACTCTTTCCATTTAAATAGCAGGAAGATTAGCAATAGGGTACTATTAAGGAAATCTCTTTATGAATTGTATTTTGTATAGCGTACTTACTGCAGGTTGGTGTTAGCCTAAGTCATTTTTTATCTTTTTTTTTGGTTTTTATTCTGTTCAAATTTTCATTAATTAAACAGGATCCCTTTGATGATAGGGGCTATCCTGTTTACGTATTCGTTATTATTATTGTTCATTCTTCTGATGAGGGGTCGTCTTCCGAGGGTGGAATGGTGACTATCTGGTCATGTGAGAATTCAGCCGCTACTCTATACCCCTCGAGTGGCGTTGGCCATTTTCCCTTTTGATAAGGATTTATGTATTCACGGCGTAAACTTCTAGATCAAACGTCATATCCGTTTTCTTGGATGCGTTATTTTAGAGAAAAGGGTAATAGCGCGTCACTTAGGTTAGCTTTGACCGCTGACCTAAATTAAAACCAGCCCTAATTCATTCAGCATTTAACTTTTCTTCTTGCTTCTTTTTACATTCAACGGATATAAGAGAACACGAAGTCTACCGTCGATACTATCTATAACCGTCATCTCTTTTCTTTCCTCTTTGGTTTTTGACTTAGGAGAACAAATACAAAAACGGCGGATACGGTAGCCGCTCAACAGGTGAAAGGAAATGATATTTCGACCAGCAAATGAAGTAAGATTGGTTAGGGCAAAGTGAAAGCGTTGTTTAAATTTCCTTATCAGAAATTTGAAATGTCAAGACGTGTATCTGAATAAATAGAAAAAGAATTGTACAATGATCACCCTGGGTGATGATAGGTAATTACCGTAGTAAACACGCCCCTGACCAGTAAGTCTTAGCTGTTTCAGTGTATCGGGTTTCGGATAGCTCTGTCGCACAGCCAGTTTCGAGCGAGTCAACGATTTCCCGCCTACACCTCCCTAGAGGTTCAGTTTAATGATCTCTAGCGCTAGCGTCTCTTTCTACTAGTCAATAAAATGTGTCGCCCAAACATCGTAGTCTTTGTTTGATATAAATAGTAATTAGAGATAATGGACTGTTCAGGGGTGGTTAATGTGTAAAATTTCTCATTTCTTATCAGGAAGCATTGAGTTATTCGCAGAGTGGGTGGTAGGGGAAAGCAGATCTTTCGATCGAACTCCGGTTGTTTCTATTGAAATATAATAAAAAGATTATCAGAAAGTCATGTTGTCAATAAAGTAAGTTATGTGGCCAATTAAACCTTATCTTGGTATCTCTGACTATTTTTCGTCATTCGACAAAAGGTGAGTATCTTAACGCTGTAAAGGGGCTTTCACCCACACGCATTTGCACCTTGAAAATAGCATTCACACTCTGTGTAACGGGACAACGCAATAGCGATCAGGAATCATGTTGAAAAAGGCCTACTGTTAGTTTCTAAACAGTAGGGTATGAGTATGTACGGTGGTATCCTGCATGCGATTGGTCGACTGGCTCCACTTGCGCAACTGCACCTAAGAATAACATGATACAAAGCAGATCTAAGTTTGAGTTTGCTTCCACTTTTCAAAGTTAACTAAATCGTCTAAATAAACTAAGAGTCAGTACATTGGTCTATCAAACCGCGCTAGTTGTAACGAACAACATAAATTTTCCATGACTTAAAGTGAACCATAAGGGTGGTAAAATATATTACAAATATAATAGAGTGGCTTGAATAAAGTATATACAATCATGATCACTTGCGAGCTTAGTATGAGGAATATGTTTAGTGATCATCAGTCAATGGAGCTTCTAATGACCGATTAAGTCACAAAAATCGCCTTTATCCCTTGCCCTTCAGTCAAACGGCCCATGCCAATGATAGAATGAAAGACTGTTGCTTAGGAAAACACTGTCTTAACTCAGTACTAGCCAGTTCTTGATGACGATAAGATAGTGTTTGCAGCGACATTGTGATTTTCAGTCATCTCACTTAGCGAGAAAAGAAAAATGTTCATCAAGAACGTTGTGTCACAGCAGTTTAGTTTAAGATTGGAATGGTGATTTTCTCGCGCTAAACTTCATCATCATCATGTTCATCATCGACATCATCAAAGTCATCGCTAATGACATCACCGAATTTTTCGATGAACTGTTTCTGGAAGATATCCATTGAGTCGGCGTCAATGAGGACAATACGAATATCGTTTAGAACGGCTTTTGGGTTTGCTCGCTCCTTTTCTTCATCTGTAGTTTTGCTTGGCGTGTCTGTCGGCGGCTTGGTCGACTTTTTCTTTTTATCTGTTTGTTTGTGTTTCTGATTACTTTCTTTTGGTCCTTTTTTCTTTGCATTTTCTTTCTTCGTAACCGTCGGCATCCTAAGATACTCCTCCACTGCGTTTAACATGGCAAAGGCACACACATCAATAGGTGTACCAAAGATACCGGAGCTTATCGCTGGTATGGCGATGGATGATAAACCGAGTTTAGACGCCAGTTTAAGACTCTGGAGGCACGCTCTCTTTAGAAGTTTCATATTTTCTGTATGTGAGTGTTTAACCCACTCGGGACCGACGGCATGAATGACGAACTTACAGGGAAGATTTCCAGCGACTGTATGCACAGCGTCTCCAATGTGTAACGCTTCATAACCGCGTTTTCGCATCAACGTGTCAGATTCCCTTTCAATTTCAAGTCCACCTCTTTGGACGATCAGCTTTGCAAGGCCAGCTACGTGGGCCAAAAATTCGTTCGCAGGGTTCACGATTGCATCTACTTCCTCGGCGGTGATGTCTCCATAACGAAGGGAGATACACACACCATTTTCTGATCGATAACTAGAGGTTTCAAAGGAAATCATTTCTGGTGCTGCTATTGCCATTTCTTGAGTACCAAGGCCAGTATCATAACTTTCCTGTTGACTCATTCCTCCTTTTACAGTTCGCCTGGCTTCTCCTACAGATGCAGCATCACCATACACAAAAAACGGACCGTGTTCTTGGGGTCGGTCAATGATCACCGGGTACTTAGTTCCAATGTATTCCATTAAGACTTTAGCTGAATCCTCGTCTGCACCTTTTAAGTCCAGCTCATTGGTAACCATACCCTGGGTGACAGTTTTAATAAGGTCTGAAACCTCACTGCACGCAGTGTTGTAGCTTGTAGGATCACAGTTCTGCTTCGCCTGAAGTATAACTCGAGTACCGTCATCCGAAGCGGTAATTTCCACAAGAAATTTTCCATTGATTTCGTTTAATTGCTCTTTAAAAAACTTCTCCATAAAACGGAAGGCATATGGATCTACTTGAAACCATCCTGCCTCTATTGTGGGATATACACGTCCTTCCTGATCGGCGCTGTTGACTTCGTTGATAGGGATGACCTTCGTTTCGGGACTACCATCGACCATGATAACTTCAGAGCTTCCAGCCTTTGAGACCACCTTTCCTGATCCTCCATTTTCGATTTCTATGGCTTCAAAAGGGTCTTTGGCCGCCAAGCGAAGATTGTCTAGTTTCGCAAAAACTTCTTGGTGTTCGTTTAAGAACCTTTTCATTTGGAGGTGGCAATCATTAACTTGTTTCAAGGTGCCTGATATAAAAAACGTTTGGTCATCGCTCCGAACGGACACATCTGTGGCCACCATTACTTTCTCCAAAATCTGTTTCGCCCCTTTCGTTGGAATGCCCAACCAGACGGGATCAAATTTTGCTGTAACCTGACAAAATATCTGAAGACAATAATATCGTGGGTAAATAGTTGAGCATAACATAGAGTATGTTAAGTATTAACCTATCGAAAACCGTTCCTCTCCTCGCGTATGTCTCACTTCTCGTGCTAGCCGTTTGTCTTCGCTCGCTCTAAGAATGCAAAAAGTGTGAGGATGGAGCTCGCTACAAAAAGATCTTCTTCACACACGCCTTCTAAAATAAAGCTTCCTACTCAGAGAAACCAAGAAGTCAACTCAACAACCTCAGATCACGTCAGATGACAACCAACCTTGCTCGGGATTTATCATGAGGGTAGCGAGAGCGTCTACCAACTGTCTACCTTACTTCAATCGAACGTATATTTAGCGGCACGGTATTAACAGTCACCCTGTATTAAGCGGTCAGTCTTCTTAGTCTCCACATTTTAACCCCATAAAAACACCTTTACACCGTTATTAAGCGGTCGTGGTTACCCTTAGCTGAGTCACGGCGACCAGTTTGTATTATCCTCCAGCAGTATTGAACGGTCACTTAAGGCGGGACCACTCAAATAAAACCAAGAATAATCTTTCGAGAAAATTTAATTCACATCTATCTCCCGATATCGATAGTATTGAGCGAGTTTTGTATATTTAGTGGTCAATCATGGCATAAATGACGTTTTTTATCGTTTCTGTTTAATACCCTTTTGGAAGCTATTTTTAAATGGTCACCACGCCATTCCCCTTAATACAAGTTTAGCTGTATCTCTTGTTGACCCGTACGCATATGTTTTCCACGAAAACATCTGTATCGTCACGCAAAATCGTTGCGTGACAGTCGACAATGATCAACAACCATGCCCGATGTAGTGATACCGAGCAAATCGAAAATTTATCATACCTCGTCATTGATCACTTTCCTTTTGCATGGCAGCCGATCAACCTTAACCACCACACCTTCAATCTTGTGTCCTTCCTTTAAAACTGTTTCCACAGCTATATATAGTGAGAAATAAAACTATCGATCATGCTCCTAGAATGTTGATAAATTGCCATAATCTGAGACTAACTGTCGTAAGTAAACGTAGTGACACACACTCGGTGATTAGTAGATTAAATCATCGGTTTATGATAAAATATTTCATCGGACTTGACCGGTTTTAAACTGTTTATTGCTCTCATTTTCCTGCTTCTTTGTTTCTCATCGCCAATTTTTTATTCTCGTTTGTTTACTCGTCAGAAAACTTGAACAGCCGTAAGAGATTATAAGCACCTTTCAAAATTGAGGTTCGATGGTGAAAAGTAACCGGACACCTTTGAACAGATTTCGGTTAAACACAAAAATAACGAACTAATGAACCAGGAAATGGACATGAACGCCATCTGATTCAAAGAGAGTGCACTTTAGAAGTCAAACACAAATCATATCCTATCGTGAAATGCTGAATATAGCGAGTACATAGCCTACATCTGTGAAAATGTAACATTTTTAAACTTTTAAAGCGAAATTATGTAGCTATATAGCACTTACTTTCCTTTTCTTCAAATGTGATCACTGCCCGGTCTCTATCTTGGGCGAATTTCACCGACATCACATCACCGCCGCCATGTTTACGCTGCTGAAAGTGAATAACAATGGCTTCTTCTTTGGTTCCTGGAGTAATATCTGACACCATGATGCTTTTAGGAATGTCGTCTGGGCTCATTTCCTCTAGATGAGATTGATTAGAAGCCATTAAGTGTCGTATCCTCGGCAAAATATGCCCTTGCAACAAGGATGCTTCAATAAATTGACTGCCTAAGCTGGCCACAAGGAAAAACGCGAGACGGTTATTAAAGAAGGGGTCTCGGGAGAGCGACACCGCGTTGAATAAATAATTTTAGGGTTCGGGGATTCCCCTTCTGAAACGTGTCGAGTCCAAACCGGTGATTCTTGAAAACGAAAGCTGAAATTTCCTTATAGCTGCATTAAAATTGTACCGCCCGATATGTCATAGTCATTTGAGAGGAGAAAATACGAATCTTTTAATTTCCTTTCACTTTCTTAACCCCTGTTTTCTCGGAATTTCAATACAGTAATGACAGCATTTCTCAGAAACAAAAGACTTGTTACCATCCAATAAGAAACCAACGAAGGGCATGTCAACCAATCAGAGCTTAAAAAAACTGAGTAATTTGCATTTCCGGCTTTCTACCAGGAAATAACGAGGACAATAATTATAACACGCAATTCTTGAATTTCAATCCAGTAATGACAGCATTTCTCAAAAACAAAAGACTTGTTACCATCCAATAAGAAACCAACGAAGGGCATGTCAACCAATCAGAGCTTAAAAAAACTGAGTAATTTGCATTTCCGGCTTTCTACCAGGAAATAACGAGGACAATAATTATAACACGCAATTCTTGAATTTCAATCCAGTAATGACAGCATTTCTCAGAAACAAAAGACTTGTTACCATCCAATAAGAAACCAACGAAGGGCATGTCAACCAATCAGAGCTTAAAAAAAACTGAGTAATTTGCATTTCCGGCTTTCTACCAGGAAATAACGAGGACAATAATTATAACACGCAATTCTTGAAGTGCGTCATTCTCTGAGGATTTGGAATGGACAAAAAGCAAATTTTGGTCACTGGCTTACCGAATGGAACGAAAAAAGCAGAGCTAATGATCTACTTCCAGTCTGAGAGAGATTCTGGAGGGGGTGACGTAGACAGCATCGAAATTGACCGCGGAAGAGCATACATCACTTTCGAAGAAGCTAGAGGTATGAAATATTCTTTCATTGGCTTTGAGTTTTTCTGCGTGCTCGTTGCTTTTAATATTTATAGCCTAATTGCTTTTAATTTCGCATCAAAGAATATCACATTTAATAAATTCACATCATAAGAGTATGGATAGGAAAGAGTCCATATAAAGGTTTGTCGTTCTGTAGTTCGCTACAGATGTTTCGGCAGTTTGCGAGTCGTCGGGCATCACTAAACTGAAAAACACCCATTGCGAAATTCGTATGCTGGAGTGCAATTAAGGCCGAAAATTAAAAGTTTTTGGAAAAATGAAAACTACTAACGCAGTTTTACTGAATCATCATCCTTGTAGTGAACGGAAATCGAAAATTGAAAGCGAAAGTTGTCGTCTCACATGGATGGTTTGGCCATTACTTACGCACCACGCTAGGCAGTGAAGGGATTTTTCCCTGCGTTTGATCACTTCCCTTTCATTCTGAGCGATCTTCGAAACAATAGTGCTAGTATCTACTAGATCGGCCTAAATACTGTAACCAAAAAGGGATAAAACAAATTCAAATGCGTGCTAAAAAAATTTACACTCAGCGAACTCTTCATAACTAATTCATTCACTTGAAATTTACAATCAAGCTTCATTTGGGTTGCATTTTCTTGCTTTAAAATTTCTTTTTGGTTAAAAATTTCAAAACTCACCAGTCTGTAGCAGCTTGAAAAGGAGCACGAGAAATAAATTTTGCTCTCCTAGTGTAGACATGCCTGAAGGCTATTGATTGAGTGAGAAAATATTCATATCGTCTTCCCTTTTTGAAAATGGTTAGAGCTACGAGATGATATCCATTTCTATATTTTTGTTAATTTTTCGGTCAACAATAAAGCTTCCTGTGCGAAAGCGTTGTAATAGATGGAAACAAGCCATATTTTTACTGGGATAAATTGGCAAGATGGCCAATTCATTGCCTGAAACTTATACCAAATGTGATCGTCGAGTTTTCATTGCGTAACTTTTAACAAATGTTGCGGCACGATATCAAAGCATCACCACAAATGCACATAAAATGAAAGAGGTGAAGGAAGGGAGAAGGAAGGTCAAAAGTTGCTAAGTGTGTCAGGTCTGGAGACAAGTTGGACGAACTTGAGGAACAATGATGCCACATCTTATACTAATCGCTGTTGGCACAGTAATTGTCCATCAAAACTCGTGACTATTGCGCTAAGAACCTCAATTCTATTATTAGCGGTGATATCAACAGATAATCCTGTAAGGATCTTGTGATTATTGTCCATTCACTAATGGAAGTTAGGAGTCTGTTCTCCTATAGTTCGACCCTTCAGTAATCCTTGCCTTTTGCTCATTAAAAACAAAAATAAGTAATAGAATAATAGTTTATTTATAATCTCATTACTAAGTTTTAAATGAGGCGTATCATTTGAAATGATACGCCTGATCAAAACTTTCACTTATTATTTTATATTTCGATCAACTGGTTTTAATGTGAACATGAAAAATTCATCGCAGGATCCCTATTTCCAGGATTTCATTTCTTTAAATCGTTTCCTTTACATATGTGGGCTGTTTTTTATATTATTAAGCAGAGAGGTTAAGCTGAAGTTTGTGTTACTTCCTGTAGGCAGGTAACGTTACCGGCAAATAAGTCACGTAAATGTTGGAAATACATGTGTTTTTCACCAGTATGTATTTACAGCGTGCATTGATCTTTTTTGGAAACATGGTAAACCATCTCTGAAAAAGTTTTTCACTCTGGATCTTCTCTATTTATCATTTTTCATGATGGGTGCTGTAAAAACTACTGGAATTGTTTGAGAGGGAACTATAATGCACTATAAACATTAGAGCTCCTTTAGATATAGAAAGCAAACAATCCTTTTGTGAAAAATGAAATTGATAACAGTAACAATGATAAGGCATGTAAGGTGAGCAATTCTTGCAAGTTTTTGTTGCTGCTGCATATTGATTCGCTTTTTTATGGTGATGTTTATGTTGATTTCTTTTCGGTAGCCGCCGGGCGGGTTGTACGCCGAAGAAGCCATTGCCTCCGGAATTGTCAACTTCAGGTGAAGTTCCATCCAGACTCAGAGGATGAAGATAATGAGTACGAACAGGAACGACATAATGGAGTAAGTATTCTGAGAGGACTTGTTAGAATGATGAAGACATATTTTCTCTATCCATTTCAAAAGCTCACTGTTGCTAAAATAAAGTGATTTACAGTTTATTCGGAGCTTATCTCGGAAATAAACTCTTCAGCATCTCAAATAAGTGCTAAAAAATGAAATGAAAATTTGCTATAATTTTAGCTATATGTTGAAAAACTATTTCAATGTATAAACGTATAACAGCAGATTCAGATAAGCAACACGGAATATATAAGCTGTTTCCTTTCACCTCTCCAGTTCTGTAACATCGTGAGGCGACAGACAATGTGTTAGGGGTTAGGCTTGTGTGGGCGCTTGAGGTTGTGGGTAAAAATTATTACTTAAGGCATTGTCGACAAGTTGCCTACAGATTAGGTTGCTGTACCAAAAAATGCTTAACAGCTCATAGAAGCGCAGAAACCACTCTCTCCTCATATTGGAAGAGTGAGAGTTGTACAACTGATTGAAATCTATACATCAAAACTGCCACGAAATGAAAAAGAAAACGTAAGTCTATCATGGAGATATTGCCCGCTGATGAACGAATGTGTCGAGTTTTATCACCTAGTGCGGATAAAACGGAAACTGTACTCAAAGTCTCTTGCGATACCGAACACTAGCACTTTAACTCGAGGGTTATCTGTTATCGAATAAATGGACCACTAGGGTATTACACTGAGCACGCCTTACAAGTTTATGTTATCTTTTATAGCAATTTGAAGAATACCAAGCCAGACATCGAAGTAGGCAAGGTCTCCAGGACTTACCAGCCTCCCAGAAATTCGAAAGAGGACAGCAACGACATCCTAATGAACCTCCCGTGCCGAAGCAGAGCACAGTCCAAGTAAAAGGTGTGTTGCCAGACACATCAAGAGATCTCTTGGCCTACTACTTCGAGAGTGAAAGGCATTCTAAAGGTGGTCCAGTCTCTTCTATTGACATGAAACCTGATCTTCAAATATGCTTGATCACTTTTGAAAATTCTGAAGGTATGTAGAACTTTTATATGCCTATTTTATTGGCAGCATTTGGAATTTTGCTTGAAAACAACTGTCCCCATAAGCAATTATGTCTAAGCAGTCGTGCGGATTCGTCTCTTGTACAACTGTTAGTGTTTAATCTTTTGCGGTTATTATAAAGTGTGACACTATTAAAGCACTTGACTTAAGCTTCCATTTACTTACTCACCTGCTTAGTTATTCATTATTTACTTATTCATAAATGCATTCGTTCATTTTTTATTCTTTAATCTTTTTTTTTTCTGTCTATTCACTTTTTTTTTAAAAAGATGTGTTTCTTTTAGGACTCTTTTAGACGTTATGTTTATTCCTCGACGTCTCGACCGGTTTATTGGCATGTGATAAAGCAAAACATTGGTCCACTAGGTTATTCAAATAGCTAAAAAAGAGTAAAAAAAGGTGAAAGAGATAACAACACAATTAAACAGTTATAGATGAGATCTCGAGAGGAAATGACTACGTTTTCCTTATATTAGGCATTCGTCTATTTTGAGTCTATAAAATTCTTGCAGACGCTCAAAGAATCGTGGAGAACTCCCCTCACATTGTGTCTGGCCTTCGTCTTGACGTGTCTTTTGTCGAAGAGAGGGAAGATGAATTGGCAAATAACTACGAAAACAACAACACTATATTAGACGGTTCCATCGCAATAATTGTCAGCGGTATATCATCGCCTATCACCAATGATTCCGTAAGGTATTACTTTGAAAATCCAAGGAGATCTGGAGGAGGAGCCATTTCTGATATTTTCTTTGCCGAAGACGGAGACGCCAGGATAACTTTTCAGGAGGTGAAAGGTACTTCACCCAAATGTAGCATCCTTGTTGGTATTTAATGGTCAGGAAAAGCCTACTACAATGAAAAATTTCAAAATTGCTTAAGTAGTAAGAGACATCACTCAAACGGAAGTTCCTTACTACACAAGCTTTTAAAATAAATTCAATCGTTAACCATGACAGATAACAGTAATTTTGGTATGCTCATGTTTCATCCCTTTATTAATGATGACAGCGAGGGCCACAGAATAAGAAACCCAACAACGATTACCTTGTAATACAATTCATTTTAAAGTACCCGTTCTCTTTGCTCCATGGCTATATCGCTCCAAGTCATTTCGCTCCAACCAAAAGTTAGATAGCTCCGCATTAAAAGTTACTTCACTCCATACAAAAGTGACTTCGCTCCATACAGAGGTGACTTCGCTCCATAACATAATTTAGTATGAAATGTATATATGCTAACCTCGATTGAAATGGAAACCACGTGTAATATGCGAACGTTCAAACCACGCCTGTTAATTCAAACTTGTTTTTTTGGCACAGCAGTCCATGATTCAAGGTCAGCCAACCCCCTTAATAGGCTACATTTGTTTTGTATCGTTTATATCGTGTTGATTTGTCTCCTGTTCTCCTTGCATTCTCCAACAGATTTGGAAAAGCTTCTTCACCAATCACATTTTATCGATGGAAAGGTCATCTCAGTGAAGAAAGAGCCACCAAAGAAAAGAGTACCACTAGATCCAATTCGAGTGCTGGTCCGTGGACTAAACGAGAAAATTACTGAAGACTGTCTACTTTTTTACCTGGAGAGATGCACCGACGTAGCGGTTAAAGAAGTTACCAAATGTTTTAATAATAATGCAGTGGCAGTATTTGAAGCCGAACCAGGTACGACGAACGTTACTTGTTTGAGCCTTTCCCCTAGCTATTCTACAACAATTCCTAACAATATCAGTGCGGTAAACTAGGCTTATAACTATATCAGCAGTTTAACAAACATTCCTGTAGCTTTCATTACCACTGATTTCTTCTTAGCTCACAAAATTAATCTCGTTCTAGACTTCGAATCGCTTTTCAGTAAGGTGCACGGCGACAATCAAGGACCTGAAGGAAGCAAACTTCGTTTGGAACGCATTCCTGTTTGCTCCTCAATTTTAGTCGAAGGACTTAATGAGAATACTTCCAAGGATACCATACAATTGTATTTTGAAAGCAGCAGACACAGCGGTGGGGACATCGTCAGCCATGTGGAGCGTATCACGAAAAGTAGTGCAGTTGTTCATTTTGAGAAAGCATCAGGTAGTATCATTTTTCCTCTCTCATTTCGCTTTCTTAATACTAAGAGAAACTTTTCAGGGAAAAAGCAGGTTTGCTACTCATCATCTTAACATGCTCGATCGTGCCACAGGTTGTATTCTTGTCCTTATAAAATCGGTGTTATAGTAGGAATGCTACAACCAGAGAGAGAGAGAGAGAGAGAGAGAGAGATATCCGTTACGCATTTCAAACGGCCTTAAAGATTATGGGTCTTTCCAGAAAATAGAATTATCGTTGACAAATGCAGACATTAACTCAGACGAAGCCCCTTTTTTAACGTTCCCCAATTAGATAACGATCTGGTCAATAAACAAATCAAAGTGTCTGTGATGGACTAGCACTTGATTGAATAGAACTACATTCATTTGTCACTTTGTAATTATGAGAAATGCGAAATCAAATTTGTTCACTCTCACTATGTACCTTCTTTTCTTCAAAGCCGTTCAGAATGTAATCGACAAAGTGGTTCACAAACTCGACGATAAGAACCTGGAAGTAAGGCCATATCTTCCTTTTCTCGAAAGCTCAACTACGAATAAGGTAGAAGAACCGTTCGATGCTGAGGTCTTTGAACACATCAAGAATAACCACGATCATGATTTATTAATTCTGAAGAAGGAAAACAAGGTCGACGTCAGCATGGATCCTGACAAGCAAGTTATCGTAATTGCCAACTCAGAAAAGGGAACCGTTCCCAAACAGTTATGGAAAGAAAGATCAGGACGCCTGCTAAGCTTCTTGCAAGGTTTTAAGAGAGCTGAAATCCGCATTCCTGCTGAATTAGCCGATGAAGTGTCAGAGCGCTGGAGGGAGGCCCATCCTGCGACAGAAACATCCGCCGATCTAATAACTTTCAGTGAACAAAACCGAGCAGCGCGTATCATTGGAAGGGTTCAAGAAGTAGTTGAGGAGGAAAGGAAAATGGAAGAGTTTATCCATGCTGTTGAACAAGATACCGAGCTTATGAAGTCAATAGGAAAAGTGACTGAAGGTGGCATTCCGAGAGTTCGATTGAGATTACTGGAAATGTCTGGTATCTGTCAAAGTCTCCAAAGTGAGCACCAGTATTTAAAAATCTCTTTTGATGCGGACGGGGAGATGTTGTTCTTTGAGGGTCCCAGAGTTCTCCTTAAGGATGTGCAGGCTAAAGTCTTTATCTTAATTTCAAAGATGATTGATAAGTCCATTGAGCTCGCACCAAACATCATAACTGTTTTAAAAAAGCCCTCGGTGTCGAGCTACCTTCAAGATCTTTTCAAGAAAAAAAACATACAAGCAATTTTTGAATGCGGCCAAAGCAACAGCTCTAACGAGATCAAGATCATTGGTGTTGACGCGTATAACACACAAGAAGCAGAAAAAACTTTGCTAGCTGCTATTCAAGAAAACAGCATCCGTTTAACCGACAAAAATGCTCAAGTACTTAGCAGCCGTATTTGGAAAAGTTTCCACTCGCGAATAATATCGAATTCTAAAGTTGAAATTGTCGTTGACATCTCCTCTAGCACTGTTTGGGTTAGCGGAATCGCAGAAGATGTTAAAGAATGCTACGATCAAATCGTCGACTTTCTTAAAAAAAACACTATTCTGAGTGACACCGTCGTCTTAGAAAATGGTTCAACGAGGTTCGTCTTCGAAAGGTTAAGTTCTAAACTTGACGAGATTAAGAAAGACTTAGTCACTTGCTCCGTGGACATGCGAATAGCTGCAGACTTTAAAGGCATAGAGGTATCTGGTACTGAAGAAGGACTAGAGAGGTGCTTACCAAGAATTCTTGAGCTAACCAAAACTATTACGAAGGCCTCCATCCCGATTGACAGGCCAGGGATGAAGAAATTCTTCTTGCAGGGTAAAGGACCTAAGTCTCTAAAATCAATTGAGGACACCAACAGTTGTATCATCGTTCCAAGAGAAAGAAACGAAAACGAAGCCTTGCTGATCTCAGACGAAGAGGAGAAGAGAGAATTTCAAGGATCATCCCCCGAGTTCATTTGTAGCTTCCTCACGAGAGAAAAAAAAAAGATTTATGTCTTTAAGAACGACATCACAAAACACCCCGTCGATGCTATAGTTAACGCAGCCAATGAAAATTTACAGCATGTTGGAGGTTTGGCCAGAGACATAGTGAAGGAGGGTGGAAGCGATATCCAGCGTCACTGCGATCAGTTCGTTGCAGATCAAGGCCGTCTTTTAGAGGGGCGGACACTAGTTACCCCTGCAGGACGGTTACCATGTAGTAAGATCATCCACACAGTTGGGCCTAAATGGGATTTCACAGCAGACACACTTCGAATAGATGGCACCGAAACAAGACAGGAACGCGTTCTTAAGCAGGCCATTAAGAATAGCCTGATGGAAGCCGCAAGTCTGAAGTCAATAGCTATTCCAGCGGTAAGTTCCGGCGTGTTTGGCGTACCACGTGATCTATGTGCTAAAGTCATACTGGATGCTGTCGTAGAATTTTGTCGGGAGAATCCGTCTTGCCATTTATCAGAGATTCATCTTGTTAACAAAGACACACCTACGGTCACTGCTTTCTCAGACGAGATGGGGAAAAGATTTTCCACGGAGAATAATTTCATTAGTAGGGATGCATCTGGTCCAGCAAACCCTACACTCCAAGTTAGAGACATTTCGCAACGATCCAGAGGAGCTCCGAACTCCTTTGCAACACAGGAGGGGATTCAAATCACCGTAAAGAATGAAGATCTCGCTAAAGAACAGGTAAGGCGATTTACTAGTAAGTTGAATTTGGTAACAGAGGTCACTATAGCGTTCTGAACCTCTCTTAAAGATTAAGGAGCTATGATGACTTTCCTGCTGGTCTTGTCGTGTTTTTGTTTTAAGTCATTAGCTTGCTGTGAAATGGCCATTGTCTTTTAGACTATTTTGAATATTCTTATTATCCTATTTTGAAATACTTTCACCCGTCTCTATCCTCCAGGCTGAAATCTTGGTTGGAACAGCGGCAGGAAATCTCAAACTTGACCAGAATCCTTGTGCGATGGCGCTCAGCAAAAAAGCTGGTCAATGTTTGCAAGACGAATGTGATAAGAAGAACGCTGTGCCTGAAGGAAACATTGCTGTGCTACATCAGACCGGAGGTTTGAAATGTCAGGCTGTCATCTTTGCCATATGTTCTCCCTGGGGCAATGGTAAAGGAAGACAGGTAACTCCTCGCTGAATAGGCCACTTGTTTCCACTTATGTCCAGAAAGGACGCAATACCGAATATTGGCGAATTTTAGTCAAATTCGTCAAAGCGAAGTCAGCTTCGCGGTTTTGACAGATTTTAGTTAATAAGAGATAATTCAATTACCCATGTAAACATTGGCGATGGGATCGATCGGTAGATTATATTACTTTGGCGGATGAAAAAACCACACTTTTCTGACTAAAAACTTGAGAAAGTCACTGCCACATATCTTTAATTTCAATTAGTCGAAAAACTTGCGTTCCATAAAATGCCTTCTGTGGTATATCGCTCCGAGGCAGAAAACTTCAGAGATTTGTGGGAGAAAATGTTGTAAACAAAGATCATCACGTTTAAATGCAAATATTTATTGAGCGACTGTAAGGCGAAACTTGACATAGAAATGGAAATTAGGGTAATTTAGCTCGTGGAGGCAGAGAAAGATTTGAATCGCTGCGTTAAAATTTGATGAATTTTGAAACCAAAAATTTTGATAAACGTACGATTCTATTCAGTACTGGTTTTGCAGAACGCCCGAGGCATGCGTTTATTACTCTGCGGAGTTTGATGGCTACTATTCTTCTGGATTTTTCCGTGACTCAAGCTCAGTTACAAAATGAACTATTCCTTTTCTGTTGACTTTGCCGCGGTACTTACGTTAGTCCCTGCATTTCTTCTAGCGATTCTCGTATTTCCAATTTGTCATGGCATCAACTAGTTCCAAAGACTTAATCTTCACACATTCCATGTTAATACAATGAAAAGTACTCAACAGCGATTTTGCTAAAAAAAACCCGCATGGCTTTCAATCCGTTCCCTCTGAACCGCAAATTCTGCCTGAGCATACGCTCCGTGTAGCCTCTTGTTTGAGACTAAAACATGATTTTCTCGCAAAACCCCAATAAAAGCTTCTAGCAGGTGGCTTTGATTGTGAAGTTTGATTGAATATAGGTTAACTCGAGGCATTCCTGGTAGACAACATTTAGAGATCACTTATTGCCATTAGTTCAACTTGTAGGACTTTACATTTTTTAATGTTAAGTCCTTGCTATCGCTGTTTTAAAAGTTTGTTTCATTTCAAAACTGCTTTATTAGAAAATTGTCGTAATAGTTGCTTCTTTAAAATATTTTAGACTCTTATAGACCTTATGAAGAAGTGTTTAAAAGAAGGAGACAGAATGAAGGCCAAATCGATTGCTTTTGCTGCTATTGGTACTGGGACACTTAGCTTTCCTCGAGATCAGGTTGCAAAAATCTATTTCGACGAAGTAGTGTCATTCAGTAAAAGGAACCCTACAACTAAACTGAAAGACATACGATTTGTGTTGTACGACAAAGACACCCCGACCATTCAGGCGTTTGATAGAGAGTTAAAGAAGTGGCTGAAGAATGCTGGCAGTATGGGTAATGCCTCACAAGTCAACGTCACCAGCACATCAGCAACTGGCAATGCTTCATTCTCTCCGGTTACTGAGCGAGGTCCAGACCACCTAGAAACAACCATCGGGTTACTCTCTTTTCAAGTGCAACATGGTGATATCACAAAAGATTCGACAGAAGCCATTGCTGTTATCAATAATACTTCCTTAGATCTCTCAGTTGGTCATGGAGCGGGAGCAGCTATTCTTAGAAAGGGGGGCTCCTCCATCAGTGACGAGTGCGCTGAACACGAACCCCAAACACCGGGCTCCGTTGTTGCTACAACAGCAGGACGCTTAAAAGCAGATTTCCTCTTTCATATTATCCCAGTTGAACCTATTACTGCTAAAAGTATAAAGGCCTCCGTATTGAAGTGCCTGCGAGAGGCCGAAGACAGAAGAGTCACTTCCATTTCATTTCCGGCTGTTGGGACTGGGGTCCTTGACATATCAGCAAAGTCCTGTACTTATTCAATTCTGTCCGCAGTCCGCGATTTCGCTAACCAAGGACCGGAACACGTACAACTTGTCAAGATGACAATTTTCCAGAAAAGCATGATCAAAGACATCCGTTCAGTGCTGTTTGAAGCCTCAGGCCAAAACCCCCCAGCAGAAGCAGGTATTCTTCATAGAGTCGCTTCTGGGTTAAGGACAATGGTCGGCCTCATAGGAATCGGTGGGAACGAGGCAAGCTCTGCGACGCCTGATGTTCAAACTGTTGATGAAACAAAGTTAAATCTTGATATTTATGCTGGCAATGAGAGTGATCTTCAGCAAGCCTCTACTGCAGTTAACGATCTGATGTCTGAGAATTCTGGTCAACAGGTTATCACGAATGAAGTAATCAGGAGTTTAACGAAAGAACATTTGACAAAAATTCACACTCTTGAATTACGATACAGCGTTAGAGCCGTCGTGGAAAAAGAGTTGGATCGCATTGAGTGCTGTGGGCAGCTAGAAGACGTTCTCAAAGTAGTTTCAGATATCCACGATCTTCTCGATAAAATAAAGAAAGACGAACATGATCGCTTTCGAGCTGAGATGCTCTCTAAGAATGTCCAGTGGAAGTATAAGCATGGCGATAAGTTTCTAAATTACGATAGTGATCTCAACACTAAAATCGAGCTCGCCTACCAGGATAACAAGAAAACACTCACCGTCAAAGAGCACGATGAGCCTTACGAAATATCGTTCCTCGCCATGACAGAGACGGGCCCAAATGGTCACAGCACAGATATCAAGAGGGTTAACCCAGGTGGAGGTCAGTTATTAAATGTATGTTGTTCAACCGAGCCAGTAGAATTTCGGGCTATAGGCGTTCTGGAATTGTATATTATTCAACATTAATTACGCTTGTTTGTCGACAAAGCTCAATAAAAACGAGATTAATCGTAACTGAAAGGTAAAGTAGCCCACCAATCTGCCCACTCATTCGCGAAAATTAACTCATTCCAGTTGCTGATGTCAAGAATGTTTTATATTCAGTTATTCTAACCTGTTTTCTTTTGATTTATTTTACTAATAGGCCTTCACGTTCCGGATTATTGGGATCCTCAGCCGCAAGATAAGAAGGTGCATATTGTCGAGATAAAAGCTGATTCGCATGCACAGGAGTACAAGAAGGTCACTGATCTGTTCAATGCAACCTGCTCAAAACAAATTGTCAAAATAGAAAGAATTCAAAATGAAGCTTTCTTTGGAATTTACGCTGTTCAGCAACAAAAGATGGACGAGTCTGGTGCCCGTGGAAGCAACGAAATGCTGTTATTTCATGGAACCGCGGAGAATAACTGTCAAGCAATTACTCACAAAGGCTTTAACAGAAGTTATAGCTGGCAAAAAAGTAAGTTGACAATGGTACACTTCGTGAGTGAAGGTGACTTGCTAGACTGAAAACCCGTAGACAGAAATCCGGATGAATTTGACAAGAAACAATGCATTTAACAGTTTCTGTTAAATTCGACAAACGGAAATTTAATCCAGGTCTGTATCTAACTACGAGCAGAGGAAGTTTCGAGAATTTTATCACATGTGTACTGCATGGTAACGATGAGTATGTCGTGCAGTAACAGTCAAAAAAAGTAAAAAAAAGTCAGACCTGTCTTTGAAAGGGCTTCTTGGCTAGATCACACCTATTGCAGCGTCGGGATAGGCCGTCAGTCGATAGAAACATACTTAATAGCCGCTTGAAACATTGGAGAAAAATTCACCTAATACAATATTTCACAAATACGGATGAATAAAACTTAAATATCCGGGGCAAAAAAGGGAATGGAATTAGGGTCTTATGAAAATATTTTGGCAACCTGATTTTGCTTCTCTTTTGAGTGAAAATTTACATATATAAATAGAGAGAAATCACAATAACATATAATGGTATGGAGGCATAACACTCTGTTTATTTCCTTACTGACATTGTGCTTCGAAGCGCATACTTGGTCAGTAAAACTAAAAGGGAATTGTTCTTGAATCAAAATAAAGAACTGGATTAAATTTAACTGACTTTCCCCCTCCCTTACAAGTAAAATGTTATCATCAAACAGAATGTACCATGTATTTTCAGACACCCTATATGGAAAAGGCGTTTATTTTGCCAAGGAGGCAGAGTATTCCGCACGTTCTCAGTATTCACCACCAGGTCCAACGGGCCTTCGACACATGTACGTCGCAAGAGTGCTGGTTGGTGATTACACAGTGGGTAAGAAAGACATCATTGTCCCTCCATCCAAAACAGGCAATGACCCAACAGATACATATGACAGCGTCGTGGATCAAATGCCCAACCCAGAGATCTTCGTCGTATTTCACGACCCGCAATGTTATCCCGAGTACCTGATAACTTTCCAGTAACGGACTGGCACTACTTGGCACTACTTCGCCTTCTTTTGCATTTTTGTTAATTTTTTTTGCTTGTCATGATAACTTTTTTGGAAAGGTGTAGAAAAAGAGGATGACTGAGGCCATTAAAAAGATGGTAATAACGGCAATTCCGAGGGCAGAAAAACCAAATTTTGATGCACAAAGAGAGAGGAGAGGTAGCTTATACTTGTTTAATCCAATTAGATTTGTAACAATTTCTTTCAAAGGAATTAGCCTAACTTATCTTAGCTTGCTCGATGTTCCTCACAGAAGCCGATTTCTGTTCGATTTACTTTAATGATATTTTGTTTGAGGTGACACCTTTTGCAGTGAAAATAACTGTGATACAACCGAGGGGCGTTTCTAGTTTTTTCCTCATTTGAGCTTTTCCTCCAACTAACGACTCAGTTAGACTCAAATGGAAGCAAGATTAGAATTAGATTGTACAATAACTTACAATTTTTTTGGTTGAAATTAGATCGAATTAAAGCTTCGTGTTTTTTTGACAGTCATGTGCCGTGGAGTGTTACACTTATCTTGGTAACGCCGAAATAACCTATAACAAACGGCGTCCCGTGGGCACCCCCTGTTGTGCATGTCTTATGATGTATATCATTCCACCTGATCTGATTGGAAGTGGGTGAGGTGGGTAATAGTGAAAGGCAGTGATATCAACTTTGTTTCCACAATTTGCAGTTCTGACAAGAGAATTCAGCTTCCCTATTGGTGGAAACCATGACAGAAAAAGATACTAACGGAGAATTATGAGAGTAAAAATTAAAAGATGTACAGCTCACCCTGGTGGACAAAACATTTAACAATTATTCACCTAAGTGGAGGTAAATAGTGATGGATATTTACCAAGTTGCAAAGCGGTGAGGTAAATATCCACCACTTTCAATGGTACTGAGGTGAATAATTGTTTTAGTATAAACCACACAAATACCAAAAAATTAGTTTTAACCGTTTCTTTCAATATACCAAAAAAGGGTTGGAAATTAAACTCTTGGTGCACAATTTTGTCTCTTAATTGGCCGCCTGGAGGTTAATAGTGCCTGTTATTCACCTTCGAACTAGCCAATCTGAGAGCAAGTGTGCACAAAAAGCACTATTCACCTGTGTGGTACATACTGATGGATAATAATTTAATGTCTCTATTTCAATCACTTAGTTGTTATCTAAGCTAACAGTGGAAGACAATTATGTCAGATGAAAAGAGATCTTCAGCTTTCAGTTGTCTGTAATTCGAAGGAATTTTCTAACCCTCATTCTCCGGCTTGCACTTAGATTTAATTAGCTGATAAATTGATTGATATTGTTTCTGCTTCCTGGTCGAAAGAAAAGCGAAAGCAAATGGCAAAACGAAAAATTTAAAATCAGACCAGCAATTAACCCTGATAATGTGCATAACAACACTGAACAGGGGTAGATTTTGAGAAATTATTTACCATCAGTAGCAAATAGTGTCTACGCTCTGCCAGATTCCTGTAAGTAAGTTCTTCCAGACTGCATTTGCGCATACTAAGTTTGAAATCTCTCCAGTATGGTGAAAACATATTTATCAAAGACTCTTTTTGATTAAGACAGCTGTATTCAGCTGAATATCACCTCCATGTTTCTATCGTGCTTACCTTGACGTGTGTCCATCATCTCGCCCGGCAATTAAATATCTGCCAAGACCACTGGGGATAGAGCTTTTTCGGTAGCTATTCAAATTTTATGGAACTCTCTTCCGGAAAGTCTAAGAGTTGTAAGTAGTGTAAATATTTTTAAGAAACAACTGAAAACGTATCTTTTTAAACAAGCATACTGTTCATTGCGTGAACATTTTTAGACTATGTACTATATAGATTTTTCATCGCTTTTTAATTTATTGTTAAATATAATTTTGTTTTCTTTTTGTAATCTATCATATTCCCTGCGGTTTCTTTTACATATTTTTTTAATTTATTGTAAAGCGCATTAGATCAGATACTTACAATGAATTTTGCGCTATATAAGTATTAAATCTATTATTATTTATTCTCCGCAGAATAACTGTGAAGGTACTGGAAATTGTAGGTATTTCGACTTGATAGTATGTCGGATTTCTAGGAAACGGCGCGAACCCACGCGCTCTGGCTGGACTGAGCTGAACTGACGCCACTTCCATTGTTGCGAACAATAACAGGCGGCTGAGAGTAGTAGAAAGCCTACCCGCGCTACAGATGTTTTCTTGATTTCTAAGCTTACATCCTAACTTTACAAGATAGAATGTGAAAGGGAACGCCGCATGCGAGGATAAGTTGCTTAATATATAGCCTAAGTGTAGCAGTACCCTCCCCCCTCGACTCCGTTTCACCTTGGCGGGGGGAGGGTACGGCTACACATAGGCTGAACGTCCTTGGTACGAGTTAACGTGGCGACACGAACAACTTCCGTTTTTTTCTGAGGAAACAGCCGGGGCTAAATGAGATTTAAGGCTGGCTGGGAGAACATTTAGAAGGAATTGGAATGCTCCCTCTGCCAAGACCAGTTTACTGAGACCAATCAATCAAAAGTTCTTACATGCCAACATACTTTCTGTAAGTCTTGTCTCCAAAGCTGGTTGCGACGGCAGATTCGTAATTGGAATTGGACGTAATTGGACACTCCCCTTGGGGCTTTTCAGGACCAATTTTACAATTTTGTTTCCCTACTGGGTGAGATCGGACGTCAGCTTATACATAAGGCGCCTCAGGCTGCCGCTATCAGTCCATTTTTTATCTCACCCACCCACCCACCCCCCACCCTTACAGGGAGAGATAGACCACCACACCGGGAACCCTACTCTTTTCGACAAGTGCGTGGGTCCTTTAACGTCCCCTGCTAACCATGTAACACTGAAGATGCAGGAGACGGGGCCTACGGTTTAAAGTCCTTATCCGAGAAGACTTGAATGTCTAACTATTTGAAGATATGATTACAAAGGCAGCACATTCTCCTCAGTTATTTTAAGACCCTGAGTGTTGTTCCGGTCTGGGGCTCGAACCCTCGACCTCCCGCACAGCAGACTGGCGCCCTACCAACTGAGCTAACCAGGTGGCGGTCAGATCGGGAAATGTTTGAGCTGCTCAAACTGTCGAGCAATAACTGTGCGAAACTTGCATTTGCTCTGAATGCGCCATTATGGAGCACCGGGATCCGATAGAGCACACCATCATGTCGCTTGAATTATATGGAACAAGGAAACAAAGAGCGATTATCCAAAGTAGGCTAAGACATATTGAGGAGAATTCTTCTCTTCTGAAAAACCGTATTGAGTCTTAAAGAGAAAGAAAAGCGAAATGCAATGGTAACATCGATAAAGTAGAGGCAGAAGTTCGCACTGTGACGGAGGATGCTATAAATGTTCTTCTTCAACACCAAGAAATGATGACAGAGCAGTTGGTAAAAGAAAAATCGCTTTAAGACGAAGCCTTGAAAAATGAGTTGTCGAAGCTCAGTACAAAAGCTATTGTATAAGAGCTCAGGACATAGCAGAGAAGATATCAATCAAAGTGAGAGACAATCCAGTCAACGAAAGTCTCTTCAATTAGTTGTAGCTCCAAAACCAAAATTTCACAGTAAGAACGTAACTTGAGTTGGCCCAACGCAGTTTAGAGAACTGCCAAATATACATGCTTACGATATTTTTGGTTTGATGTGAGGACACTCTTCAGGGTTTGAACCCGAACTTCTGGGAAGACGGAAGAAAAATCACTAGTGTTAAACGCCCGTTTAGGAACCATTTAAAATGCATGAATGATGTTCATTTCTCAAATAGGGGAAAAAAAACATTTTTTTTTGACCTGCATTTTAGGTAAATATTTCTTCCTTGCAGATGAGCAGCAATTAAATAAATTATAGTAAAGAAGATATGGACGAGATTCTCGTCATGCAACACCCTCTCTTCCTTACGAACGCGTTGCGTGACGAGACTAAACGAGACTAACAACTGTGGAACCTGTATTTAGCGGCACCGTATTAAGCGGTCACCCTGTATTAAGTGGTCGGCTGTCAAAGTCCCAAATTTTCCCCTTAATCACCGTAATTTTCGCGTCTATTAAGCGGTCACCTCTATTTAGTGGTCGTAGTCACCCTTTACTAAGTTTTAAAGCCTGTTTTCACTGTCTTTACCTATACTGAATGGTCACTGAAAGCAGAAACACTCGAACAAAACTAAGAAATAAGAAATTTTCAATCCATGTTTCTCTCTCAAAATCAATGCAAGTAGTATTTCTGAGCAAGGTACTTTACATTAAGGGGTCAATTATGGCAAGAAGTAGCGTTGGCTCATTTTTATAGTATCTATAATCTGTGGAGCCAGTATCAAGCGGTCAACCTGCATAAAGCGGTCACCTTGCCATTCCCTGTGGGTGACTGCTTGATACAGATTCAACTGTATTGCCCATTGTCAATAGCAGTTCACTGCCTAGAAAATAAACGAAAGTTTTTATATCAATGAAACTTACTATTTTATAATTCCTTTTTATATGTTATTTTACCAAGTATGTGGATTCCACAACCAGAAAGTGAGAGGGTGAAGAACTTACCGCTCATCTGGTTGAGCTGGATCCTGTTAGGGATGCAAAGGAATACCAAGATGTTCAGAATCAATTTCGAAAAACATGCAAAAGTGAGGTTATGATCTTGAAAAAAGCACAAGTCCAGAATCCAGCCCTTTACAAGACATTTACTCTGCAAAAGCAAAGGATGGAAGGGGAAAGAAGAAGCAATGAACAGGGACTTTTCCTTGGAATCCCAAGAGGCAAATGCCAGCAAATAAATGAAACTGGTTTTTGCCATTTTCAAAAAGGTGGGAAGAACCACTTTTTTTTAATAATGTTAATTTGCATGTCATGTGTGCTTACATATAGAAACAATTCAGTCCTCACTATTTTTAAAATACCAGATGAAGCAGCAGTTTGAGTTCAAAAAATGTTTTAAAGTACATTTGCTTCATTTACTAAGAGAAAAATTTGAGCGTTATTTTCATACGCCAGTGTCAATTTACTCAAAAGCTTAATGATACAATTTTTACTTTTTGAATCGAAGGTGATATTCAGGATTGCATTCCTGTTACTAAATCTTGCCCTATTGTCTAGAAAATCTTTGCGACGCAAAACTTTGCAACTTGATCCGTCACGTTTCCTCACTTGGAATTTTTTACTTGTTTTTTTTTTTCACTTCAAGTTCTGATTGGTTCCTCATTTTATTTCCTTTACTGTGATTGGTCGTTGAGATTGCTCTGGTTTGAGTTTTTCAACACTAACTCGAACAGCACTCCAGTTTAATCTTTGCAATTTTTTCAGCACCAATAGACATGTATCACTTTCCCAAAGATGCCCTTTACCCAGCCCAGTCCTCTCTCTCTCTCCACCAGACATTGACAGACACCAATACATGTACCTCAGCAGAGTCCTAGTTGGTGAATACATGGTTGGTAGACAAGGCATGGTTGCTCCTCC